GTTCAGACTTGATGGCACCTGACAATAACAAAAATAGTGGAAAATTGCATATTAACTTTTAGACATATAATGAGCAGTATGGCTGTTATATGGGGAGTTGGGAGGCTCTGTAGGATAAGCACTTAACTCCTAACCATTAGGTCAACATTTCAAGCACACCAGCCACACCCTGGGAGAAAGATGAGGCTTTCTGTTCAAGTAAGGATTTATAGCCTCAGAAACACTATAGAAAGTCACGATGAGTTGGACACTTCATAGCAACAACAACATGGCCATTGTACAGAGACAGATCATTCAAGTATTCATTAGATAAACTGAGTGCTATAACGTACCTAACTTAGGGGACACAGCTGTGAACAAAACCAACTCATTGCTCATTTTATAGGCATGCTCTATTTTATTATGCTCCACTCTATGGTGCCTCACAGATACTGTGATTTTTATAAATTGAAGGTTTGTGTCAATTCTACATTCAGCACCAGTTTTACAACAATATGTGCTCACTTCATGGCTCTGTGTCACATTTTGGTGATTCTCACAGAAAAAGTTCAAACATTTTCATCATGCTACTGCCTACTGGGGAGTCCTGGTAATCAGTGGTTCAAACTCACCAACCACTCCTTGGAAATCCTACACAGGGTTTCTATGAGTTGGAATTGACTCAAAGGCACTTAAACAGCAACAAACAACTGTACACTGAATAGACTCTTGTTGTTGTTGTTAAGTGCTGTCGAATTGATTCTCTTCTCACGTTGTTGTTGTTAGGTGCTATTGAGTCAGCACCGACTCATAGCGACCTTATGCACAGCAGAACGAAACAATGTCCCATCCTGGGCCAACCTCACTACTGTTGCCACAGTTGTGTCCATCAATGCTGCCACATGGCCAATACATCTCATTGGGGGTCTTCCTCTTTTTCTCTGACCGACCCACCATCTTACGAAACATGATATTCCATCTTATAGAGATCCTGTATAGTGTTTCCAAGGAGCAGCTGGTGAGTTTGAACCATAGACCTTGCAGTTCAAATGGGCCTTGAGGTTGGGTGCTTATCCGGTGGCACCACACCATATAGCAGAATGTAAACCTAATCATTTTTATGTGCTTGGGGAAACCAAAAATTCACATGATTCACTTTATTGAGGCAGTCTTCAAGCAAACTTGTAATAACTCTGAGGTATGCCTGTAGAGTAAGTGAAATGTTGTTGTTGTTAAGTGCCATTTAGTCAGTTCTGACTCAGGATCCTGCATAGTGTTTCCAAGGAGCATCTGGTGAGTCTGAACTACCAACCTTGTGGCTCAAACCAACTTTTTGGTACAGTTCTTTATCTTATAGAAGCACCACACCAGGAAATCGAAGCATACAAATAAAAAAGTCCCAAGCCACTCCATCTGTCCATGTCATCATCCCTGCCTCCATTTTTTGTGTCACTGCTTCTCTGGGTAGGGTCCCCCACTCCGCTCTTCCCACTTGATGGTCCCAGGGAGCTCTGCTCCTGGACTGCAAAATCAATCACTCCCCTCCTTTTGTTACAAAACATCTACCGTTTTACATTTCCAACCCTCACAGTCAGTCCTGATAGCAATTCTTCACTATTGTACCACATGAGTCTTATTCTGTAGAATGTTTAAGGCTGTGAGTTTTTAGAAGCAGATCACCAGAGCTGTCTTGATAGTACCTGCTAGTATGTTCAAATTCTCAACTTTTGGTTAATAGTTGAGTACTTAAATACTTGATTTATCCAAAGGCCAGAAATAAAAAGGCTCAAATTAAACATCTACTTTAATTTGAAGCACAGATTCATAAAAAAGTCCCTAGCAACAATAATCTTTTCTAATGTTTGAGCTTTTCAGCCTAGAATTCCTATCTCAGTTAAGCCAGAAAACTTAGTGTTATTGACACACATTTTTCCATTTTATTCTCCACATACAATTCATCACTAAACTTAGGAAGGTAAACCTTTTAACTGTGAAAGAACCCCACTGGTTTTCATCTCTACCACCACCACTAAATTTTCTGTTATTTTGTCTTCTTGGACTAATATAACAGCATTCTAATTTGTTGCTCTACATTTTCTCTTGTCATTTCAATTCTTTTCCAAACCCTACGTTTACCAACCTTACTTTATAATCTTTTAGTAGAAACAAGAAGAAACAGTTTTATCTCATACTGGGAAAGAACATGAAGGTCAGTCTGAACATCACAGAGTATTCTTAAGGCTGTCTAATGATTAGGTGCAAGAATGTTGTGACTAACTGTGTAATAATTCAAGAAATGATAAAAGTGTCAATGCATGTACTGTGTAATTTTAAGTATAAAAAAATAAAGACTTGCTGAGCTGGGCTGGCAGAGGAAGGAAGAAAAGCAGAGGAAGAAGGCAGAGGCAGCAGAGGCAGAAAGAAGAAGCAGAGGGCAGGAGGGAGAAGGGAGAGGGCAGACAGCAGAGAAACAGACAGCAGAGAGCAGAGGGCAGACAGCAAAGAGAACAGGAAGCAAAAGCAAGGGCAGAAGCTAGAGAGCATAGCCAGACAGCAAGGCAAGTTGAAAAGCCTTTCGATTGTATTCATTCATTTCTTCACCCGACGTTTCCGCGTATTCACTCGTGTCCCATGACCCCCGCAGAGGGCAGGAACCCCCTGCACACATATTCATATATAGTTATAGACATGTTGTTGTTGTTGTTGTTGTTAAGTGCCGTCGAGTCGGTTCCGACCCATAGCGACCCTATACCCTATACAGGGTTTCCAAATATAGATATAGATATATAGAGAGAGTAAGAGAGTCCTGGTGTGGCACTATGGGTTAATGCATCAGACTGCAAAGATGTTTGAACTGCAGGTTGGGTGGTACAAACTCACCAGTTGCTCTTCTATGGGTCATACCATTTCACTGACACGTAACAGCAACACATACATATATATTTAAATATATATATACAAGGAACTCTGGTAGCATAGTTGTTATGAGTCAGGCTGTCAACCTCAAGGTCAGCAGTTCAAAACTACCAATGATTCCACTGGAGAAAGATGAGGTGTTCTGCTCCCATAAAGATTTACAGCCTCAGAATCCCTGTGCAGGGTCACTATGAGTCAGAACCCACTCCGCGGTACTTAGCAACAACAAATATATATATATAATGTGTAGAGAGACATATATACGTATATATGATAAATGTGTACAGACACATATATACATATATGAAGTTGATGAAAGTATGATAATTAAAATGGAAAAAGTAGTTATGTCTTAGATAAGTTACTTGGATTTGTTTTTGTTTTCCTACATTCATTATTTATTATTTTCCTTGATTTAATGATCATCTATTATGTTTAACACCCATTTAAAAGTAACTATATCCCAATAAAATTCATGATACTAAATTATTTTAAAGTGAGGTAAATTAATATAGAGAAGAAATAGCACGATTTTTAAATCAGTATATACACATAGTTTCCCAGCAATAACAATTAATCAAAAGAAATATGATATGATCTATTTTATTACTACTTTTTTTTCTATTTCCTGCATCTTTGCTTATTTTCCAAGCATTTCTTATTGAATGTGTACTTCCATTAAGCAAAAAAAAAAAAAGGCTAAATATAAAAAAGTTATTTGGGAACAAAAGATTGCCTACCTTATTTGGGCCACAAACAGTTCCTTCGCTGACCCACATAATGTAGTTTTGATTTTGATCATGCTCATACTCAATGGTGATGCAGATCTCTCCTTGTACGTTGGTATAAAGAACAGTGGCATTTTTAGTTTTATATATACTTTTTTGATTATATGCACATATTAATTTTCCACATTGCAGGTCCCTACAAGTATATCAGTAAATGATAATAATTATATTCTAAACTCATCTTTACTGTAAAATATTTAAATAATGCATTTCATGCTTGCAAAGTGATTTGTGCAGCTAATTGTGAAGTGAAAAAATAGTTAGGCACTGCCACAAATTATTAATTATAACATCTTTTTCAGTTAGATTTGTTTCCTAGCCAGATTGATATTTTGTGATGATTGTTGTAGTCCTTAAACATTGCCAATCTCAATGATTAATAAATATCTATCTCTTTCCTTTACAGTTTCTCCAACCCAGTATCTATTCTAACCACTACAGGTCCAAACTAACAAGACAGCTTACACAATCAAGAAGAATTATATACACTATGGTGCTGTAGGATAAGCACTGGGTTGCAAAGTCAGTTTGAATCACTATGGCAGTTCGAACTCACTAGCCACTCCTCAGAAACCTCATACAGGGTGGCTATGAGTTGGAATTGACTCAAAAGCACTTAGCCACAACAATATATTAACATAAGGTCATTGATATACATAGTGGTGATAGTGCTGTAAGCCACAGAGAAAATGTTGAAAAATAAAGAAGATAGAAACATTTGGAACAAAATAATAAATGTGAAAACTGACTTTCCAACAGAAACAGTGGAAGTCCAGCCTGTTGCATTATATTTTCAAAGACAGAACAATGTAACTTCCATCTTCCCACTCTATTGCAGAAGAAATATGTTCAAACTTAAAGACAATTTCAGAAAATATTTAATAAATATATCATCAGCAGTCCTGAACTAAAAAAAATAGAAATAGCTCTTCTCCTTTAAGTGAATTTATACTAGATGGAAATGTGTGGAAGTACAAAAGAATCAGATACCAAAAAATAAAACTTATTGTATTAAATAAATCAAAATTTAAAAACTTGAGAGTTCAAATTCACTTAGATGTGCCTCTGCTTAAAGGCCTGGCAATCAATCTTCTGCCAAAGTTTTCTTTGACAGCTCTGTGGAGTACAGTTCTATTAGATTTACATAGAATGATTGTCAATCAGAATGGAATCAAGAACATGGATGAGATAATCAAGAACATGGATGAGATAATATAAAAGCACATCATTCCCCCTAAAGTAAACATAAAACTGACAAAAATGTCAAAAATCACCATTTCAGCACTCTAGAAATTGAAAACAAATTGAGAAGCATTTTTTTTTTCATGAAAAAGTGTTCTGATGTGGCACTGTGGGTTAATGTGCTTAACTTCAAAGTTCATTTGAACCACAAGGTCAGCAGTTCAAGCTCACCAGCTGCTCTTGGGAAACCCTACACACCCTGTATAGGTCTCTATGTGTCAGAACCAACTCAATGGCACTTAACAACAACAACATAAATGAAAAGCTTGGGCATACTTTGAGGGGTCTGATGCTATCTTCTTTTTCAGGCCAGTTGCTGTTATCATATTACCAGGTCATGGTTGGCTATGAAAACAAATAACTTCAATATAAGAGAAGACGTTCTTGATTTGGAGCAGAGAGCACAAAAATTGCTCTTGTGACGTTGTCAGTAAAGTGCGAAATGAATGGTGGAATCAGCAACACTACATATTACAGTGTCAGGTGGGATTAATAAAAGTTCAGACAAAAATTAATCTTGGAATTGGAAAGCGAAGTGGGTCTGTAGGATAAGAATTCAACTGTAAACCACAAAGTAGGTGGTTTGAGCCCACCAGATCCTTCATGAGAGAAGATCTAATGTGTCCAAAAGCAGAGATGTCAGTTTGAGGACTAATGGGTGTCTGATTTAATCCAGAGTATTTCAATAACCGCATAAATATATGCAAGTTCGACAGTGGAATCTCAAACCAAGGAAGACAAAGATGTATGATACTGAAAACAATTGCAAATTGCTATTTGATGAACTAGACTTTTGCCTATGAATGCAGTGACTCAAAATTCCAACCAGAATGTAAGGATTCCTCATATCAAGGAACAACCATGTTTCTTCATTGTACTGGGTTGATAAAGACTAGGAATGTAGACATTGGCTGTCAAAAATGAGGGGCAGAGGCAGTCTACAAAAGCAAAAATTGGCTGGTTTACAATCTCTCATGAGTGTGCTTAGCTTCAGAATGGGGAGGGCAAGGTTGAATCCCCACTGAATAGCTTCCCTCTTTCCCAGATGGACCTGGTGAAAAGGGGTGGGGGACAAAGGTAATAGGATTTTATGACTCAATTGTGAATAGTTCTTAGCAAACTGATTGTGATTGTTACAATTGTAGTTGTAGAAGATGTGTAACTAAAAAAAATGAGTAAGTAATCTTTCATTTAAGGAACAGATGATCCTATGACCATCAAGAAAAAAAAGTGAGAATGGAGCATGAGATCCCTACCTAGAAAAGTAGCGACAGCAAAGCTTTGTGTCTGTGAGCAGGAGGCTAGCTGGCAGAATGTGCCCTTTGGACATTTAAATGAATAAATATATTTTTGTTTTGTAATTGTAGAAAACATATTTTTGCCTTGTTCATTTGTAATATATTAGATGTAAATGGGAGCCACAGGAAGGAAGTGGGATAAACGTTGCAAAGGGGATTGTAATCATTGAGATGAAACAAATTGTATGGTTTGCTGAATATAGAGCTGGTGATCTTGTTTGTAAACTTCACCCAATTCACAATAAAAGGTTAGAAAAGAAAGAAAGGAAGATTGGACAGTGAATAAGGATGATCATAGAAGAATTGATGCATTCGAGTTGTAGTGTTGCAGAAGAATATTAAAAGTACCAAGTTCTGCTAGAAGAACAAACAAATCTGTGTTGAAAGAAGTACAACCATAATTCTTCTTGGAAGCCAGGATGGCAAAACTTATCTCTTATACTTACTGTGTTATCAGTGGGTAGTCCATTGTAGGTAAAGTGGAAGGTCAATGAAAAAGAGGAAGACCCCCTAACAAGATGGATTGCCACAGTGGCATCAGCAATTGTCTCAAGCTTGACAAGGACTGTGAGGATGTGTTATATGGCATATTGCCCTGTCCTGTATCATCTTCACAGATATTGTTGACTGTCATCCTTTTTTGTTGTTGTTGATGCTCCACTTAACCAAGAATGGTGTTCTTCCCCATGGACTGGTACCCGCTGATAACATGTAGTAAGTGTAAGAGATGAAGTCTTGTCATCCTGGCTTTAGGAACATTCTGGATGAGTAAGCCCTTGGATTTGCAAGGATGCAATTTTTATAGAAGTAGTCTGCCACATCTTTCATCCATGGAGCAACATTTGAGGTTCAAACCACTGAACTTACAGTTCATAGCTAGTACTTTACCACAGCACCACCAAGGTATATATATTGACATCGTACTTTTGATGAATTTTTGGAGATTTGAGTGCTGATGTCAGCAGAGTAAAATGATAGAGGTATATATATATATATATATCGCCCCCCCTCAGGAATCACATGATACCTAGCTGAGAGAGGGGATGCATAGTTGTGGAAAAATTCTCAGACTGCTTACCATAATAAAGGTCTAATCTAGCCAACAGACTCTAACAGCACATCAAAAAAATAACACATCATGACCAAGTGGGTTTCATAAAAGGGATGAAAAGATGGTTCAACATTAGAAAAACAGTCAACATAATTTGTTGTTGTTGTTGTTAAGTGCCGTTGAGTCGGTTCCGACCCATAGCGACCCTCTACAGGGTTTCCAAGGGTGTAAATCCTTACGGGAGTAGAAAGCCCCATCTTTCTCCCGCGGAGCGGCTGGTAGTTTCGAACTGCTGACCTTACGGTTCGCAGCCCGATTCGTAACCACTACGCTCAACATAATAAACTATATAAATAAGAAAAAAAAAAAAAGAACCACCTGCCTGATCATATCAATTGATGCAGTAAAGGCATTTGACAAAATCAAAAATCCATTCCTTATATAAGCACTCAACAAAGTAGGAATTGAAGAGAAATTGCTCAACATAATCAAGAGCATATATACAAAACCAACAGCCTATATCACTCTCAATGGAGATAATCTGAAAGCCTTCCCTCTGAGAACGGGAACCAGACAAGGATGCCCTTTGTCACCACTCCTATTCAATATTGTTTTGGAAGTTTTAGCCAGAGCTATACGGCACGATAGAGAAATTAAAGGCGTCCAAATTGGCAAAGAAGAAATAAAACTCTCTCTATTTTCAGACAGTATGATCCTATACATAGAAAACTCCAAAGACTCAGTAAAAAGAACTACTAGACCTCATTGGAAGATTCAGCAAAGTGGCAGGGTATAAGATCAACAAACAAAAATCAGTTGGATTCCTCTATAGTAACAACGACAGCTCTGAAAAGGACATTAGGCAAGCAATACAATTTATAATAGCCACCCAAAGGATGAAATGTTTAAGAATAAATGTAACCCGAGAAACAAAAGACTTATACAAAGGAAATTCCAAAACATTACTACAAGAAACCAAAAGAGACTTACAAAAGTGGATGAACATACCATGTTCCTGGGTAGGAAGATTCAACATCATGAAAATGTCAGTACTTCCAAAAGAAGTTTACACATATAATGCAATCCCAATCCAGATTCATATGACATTCTTCAAAGAAATCAAAAAAACAATTTCAAACTTTATGTGGAAAGGAAAGAGACTCAAGATAAGCAAAGCACTGCTTAAGAAGAAGAACAAGGTTGGAGGTCTCTCACTCTCCAATTTCAAAATTTACTACATGGCTACAGTGGTTAAAACAGCCTGGTACTGGTACAATGAAAGACACATTGATCAGTGGAACAGAATCTAGAATCCAGAAGCTAACCCATCCACATACAGCCAACTGATTTTCGACAAAGTGCCTAGGTATATTGCATGGGAAGGAGATTGTCTCTTTAACAGATGGTGCTGGCAGAACTGAAAAGCAATACACAAATCATTGAAATAAGACCTTTGGCCTCATGCCCTATACAAAAACAAACTCTCATAGATTAAAGATCTAAATGTGAATCCCAAAATTATGAAGATTATCAATGAAAAAATAG